TGAACTTAACATTTTTCTAATATATATAAATTATATCTTAAATATAATAATTAGAAATAATATAATATGCGTGCATTTAAATATGTACCGATCAAGGGGTTGTTGATTGCACAATTCATTCCCCGCCTAATTATTTTAATCAATCTCGAGAATATAATTTGAACAGAAAGAAAGAAAACACAGAGAAAGAGATATCGATAGAAGAAAATCAAGTCGAATCATCCATCTTTCGGTTTAAACGACATCTCGCTCGACATTTTCGCCGCTAACGAGTTCAAAAGATGAAAGGTGACGGCGACGGCGACGGTGGCGGGCGATTCGCTGCAACCGCGGTCGTTTATTAACTCAACCCCCAGTGGGGTTGATATCACGCGCGACATAACTTACGTTTGGACAGGGCTGCAAACTATACTATATACACCACAGAGCCGGGCATAACCGTACATAACGACGCTAAGGTTATGGTGTTACGCGCGGATGGTGGAGTGGCACCGGTGTCCAGTGACTCCCATGTCGGCTTGTTATCCGGACCGCCCCGTCGTTATCTGCAATTACCCCAAAACAGCCCCTAGTTTATAAATTATAGGCCACCCCCCGCGCCCCTCGTTGCGCCGCGTCGTACCCCCCTCGCTGCCGCTTCCCTGCCTCTTCCTGGGCGAACCATCCTCTCCTCTAGTCCCCTTCCCGCCCTTCCTTCCGAATCTGACGGTACACATCTGTCATCAAACGCAGCCAATTACATTCAATTATTCCGGTCAGCACTGCCGTGTTATCGTCCCGCGAGCGCGTTATCATACGAAGAATAAATTCCCGGCCAATTAAGCAAAATTGTATCGTGGTAATTGTCAATTAAACACGTGTCGGCCCAATTACAGATCGCGCGATGGCAAAACAAGAGCGATGAATTAACTGCCGAATCATTTTTTACGTTTCGGCGAGGCATATTATTATCATTTTTCCATTGTAAATGCGATTGCAATTAGATTTTCTCGCGATTAAATGCCAAATTGGTGGAATCGCGCGTTGTTACACGAATAATCCGCGAGACGCAATGACGTGAGCAGTGATCTCTCCGATCGCTCATAGACACAAGAACCGAAATATTCTCGTACACGACAATGCGATCACGCGCCATTGTTGCGAGAGATTTCAATAGACATTGCGACAATGAGCCGACGACGACCGTGTCGCGCGTTGCGCGAAGGGAGGGCACCCCTCGGCCAGCATAAGCCTGCTTGACTGTACTTTTCACCGCCCTTTCCACAACGCAAGATTATTATGTCTCCGCGACCCTCCGTCGTGAATAGACATCTGCTTTTGAAAAGGCGTAATACCCATGTATATAAAATGAAATGCGATTACAAGATGTAGAGTTTGCTTTCTCAATGTTAAGTCTTTTCTTGTCTCTCTCAAAAATCTTATCAATTGAATGGTTACACATTTATAAATATTGAAAAGTATTATTTTAAAAAATAAACAAGATCCGTTACTTAGAAAAAAAATACTTTGCATAGGTTAGCAAAGTGTAGAATAAAATTTCCAATAAATACTTATAGACAATATTCGTCTTATACAGCTGTATACAAAATAGTAAGAATAAAAAGTTGTTATTATAAAAATTACTACTTCAATTTCCAATTGTTATTATTTCACTTGTTTAATAAATTATGAGAAATATCATATATTTTGTGGGAATCTCTCTTGTAGAACATCGTGGATGCAATATACACGATCGGGCGAATTTGTATAACAGCCTTTATTTTATCGTTATGATACAATTTTAATTAGATACATGTCGCTATGCATCACGTGAAACCGGAATTCACCTTTCCATTCTGGCGATCTCCATAGCTGTTACGCATTATTATAATATAATTTTTAATTATATATAATAATTATAATATAATATTATATAATATATATATTATATTATAATTATTATATAATAATTATTATAATGCTTATTTTATATAATAATTATTATATATAATAATTATAAATATTTATTATATAATAATTATTATAATATATATAATTGTATTATATAATAAGCATTAAGATTATTATAATAATTGTTACAAGACTTAACACGCTGCGATTATAGGTCAAGCGATATGATTCATATTTGACGTCATTTTATTATTGAAGACGTCGCGATTCAACAATCTGCATCATTGTGCTCTTGTTTCTTACACAATTTTAAAGAAAAAAGTAAAATCGCGTCAAATCGTTAAATCGAGATTTATCGAATGTTCCGTCCATTGATTCTCCAAGATGTAAGCCACGGAATAATCCCTAATTTTCTCAATCGCTCCTTACTATCTATTAATATCTATAGTAAGATTGACTTTAGCACAAAAATACAATTCCGTAATTACAGCTAGACCTTTCTCGTATTAGTATCACGGTATACGCGAGCATACGTGATGTTTTCATGCGATCTTGCCGACTTGAATCAATTCTTGCCAAATCAATTCAATTGGACCATAATGCGATAGCAGAAATTTCGAAAGATATGAATAATATAATAAATTGAACTACAGTAAGTTTTCTTATGTGATAATATATTTATCTCGAAAATAGATTTATCTAGGTTAGATCGTGCGCGTCTTCTTTCTTTCCCTTTTAAATCGGAATAGCGTTATTAATTAGCTCAGATCCTTCGAATTTTTTCAAGATCTTGTGAATCGTCACGATACTCGCTGCCGGCCACATTTACGAATCGACGATTGACAAATCTATGGAAATACATTATACGATATTCGTAATATAATATTTACACATGAAGTAACTTTAATATGCATTTGGAAGACAGAGGTTTATATATATATATATGTATATACATACACATACATACATTTATATATGCATATACAATGTACGTATGTATGTATGTATATGTATATTATGCGTATATCTTGATAATGTTTCTTCTTCATATAGATGTATATATATATATATATATATATATATATATATATAACATATATGTACACGCGTAGATATGTATATATCCTTAATGTATGCACGCGTGGACGTATATACCTTACACACTTAGGTGCGTCATAAATTTTCGCTAATAATTATATTATTCATCACGCGCTATATCGTCATCGACTATTTTAAATATATAAATAAACTACCTTCTATTATATCGCAAAATTGTGTTTTATCTATCATATCATAACTGATTAAATAATGCAATTAATAGCTATGTATTGTAATTTTTGGAAAATTATATAAATTTATATAAATTTACGCGACAATTTCTTGAATTTAATATGCCAAAACATCATTTCTAAAACAAACGTGTATTTTTACTAAAATTTTTAGATGCATCCAAGAAAAATGTAGAATATAGAACGTAGTATAAAGGAAAAAAGGAAAATTTTTGCGATCGAAAGAAAATTTCGTGTAATCTTGCCGGCGTTAATTTTGAAAATTTCTATGTAATTGTAATCTAAATATTATGCTTCATGCATAATACGCGTAATGCAGTTTTATTTCACTTATTTACATAATGTATTGCATAGCACACACACATACGCGCACACACATACATAAAGAATTATAAGCCGAATGAAAGAATTATCCTATTGTGGCGTGCATTTGTAAAGCCACTCTTGATATGAATTATATATTTATCACTACTCCTTAAATTGACATATTCATGTGAATATTTCGAAGAAGATTTGAGAAACAGCCTTGCGAGAGAAATACATACTCTTATACAATTTCTCATCTTGTACTACATAATATCGAGCGAGAATAATGTTTGAGATCAAAATACAAATTCTAGAAATCTGGATCACAATTCACATTCCCACCCAAGACATAAATAATAATGGATATGTAAACTAATTTAACTTTATATTTACAGCTAAATATTTTTTAGACTTTAAAGTTTCACAAATCGAAAAACTTACGAGGCTATACATTGCGAAGAGTAAAATATGGTAAAATCGATGTAAAAAATTGGAAATAATCTATCAGTAAATTATGCAGATGATTGCTATATACAAGATAATTTAAGGCGTCACACATTGAAATGTATTAACATTTTTAATATACACTCTCGTTAATTAATTTAGGTACCTATCTAACATCGTTAGCTGCCAAGAAGGACCTCTCTAAAACTTTGGAGTTATCTGCGACCCTCGTTTTTGAAATCTTTAATTTCAGATTATAATAAAAGTTGTTATTATATACTACGTATATTTTATTATTTTATCTAGAATAATGTTCAAATGGATAAAGATATATTATTTCGCGATTTTTTTACGTCGAGGGAAACAATTTAATATTATCTCAACTGTTTGTATAATGCAAATATTTCACGGGACATTAAAATATAGATATGTGTTTTTTCTTATGTATTTTTTCTCTAGAAAATTATGCAAACTTGACAAAAATCTCATAATTAATATAATTCTTGTAACGAGAAAATGCACGAGTGATAATATTTTTTAATGTGCCTCATTAAATGCTCATACAATGACACGTAGACCAAGATCTACAAATTGAAAAGCCTATTGATACAACCATCCGAGTTTGCGATTACGAATGTCATTTTTCCGTTAAATTCCGAACGAACCAATTGACATTCGATGTACGCGACTAACAAATGTCGTAATGGAATCCATTGCATTCGTCTCGACGCGCTTTTATATTAATTCTTATGGCATGAATATGAACTTCAATGATATCTATATCTTCTATGTATAATGGTGCATTAAAACGCCATCCAAAATTTCTCTAATTGCAAAAAAAATTGGCAATATTTTCTAATTTGATAAACAAATATTGCACATGAAAGAACAAAGTAAAAAAAATCTTTTACAAATCAAAAATAATTGTGAAGTTAAATCGAATAATGATGAAAACTTTTTTAAGATAGAATTAAATTATAACATTAATCAATAATAATCAATATTACCTTCAAGACTATCTTTTTTTCAAATGATTAAAAAATACGAATATATCTATTTATGTACCTCTGCAGCAAAGTTTTAAAATATTCATTAACGTATATTCACGAGAGAATATCTCAAATTTTTCTCTCTTGATATTTCGCGAAACATGGAACCTTTTTTAATTAGAGTCGTCTTCAATTTGACTGTTCGATCTATATTAATTATATATCTTCGAAAATTTAATTGTAAATCGTTACGCGATAATTACGGTTGTTACAGATTCGTGATCAATTGAAAAAAAATGCTCGACAGAGAATACAAGTTTTTTTCCTGGAAATAATTAGCGTGGGAAGAGGGGAAGGGGTAAAAACTACGAGTCGTGATTTTGGCGATACGCGCACGTTTTGGCATCGTCGTGACAGTGGGGAATCGATCAGCTGGTTCTCCTTACTCCATCGTGTCATATTTGACCTTCTTCACTTTGAAATATCGGTAGGCCGCGTAACCGGTGATCGTCAGCAGGACCGCGGCGGCCAGCGTGGAGCCGACCGCGACCGGCGCGGTCTCGTCTCTACCGGCGCGCGCGCTTAGCAAGGTGCACGAGAACTCGGAGGCGAACTCGTTGTTCTTGAACTTGAACGGCTGCAGCTTCATATCTCTGAAATTTTTCATTTTTTTTTCTCGTCTATGTCAGTCTTCCCACGAATTGTCCCGTCTCGGCAGGAATAAAAAATTTTTCTAAATATGGCATATGTCATATCTCTGCGTTGAATTCAACGCTTAAAGTGACTGAGAAGATTTAATAAAAAGAGATTATTCTTGAAAGTAGCTTGAATGAAGATTTCTAAGTATATGTGTCAATATTTAAATATGGAGCAAAAAGATATTTATCTCAATTATAATTTCGGAATATATCTTATTTTATCGTGGTTTTTTAAAAAACAATTTTTTAGAGTGATTGATTTGATAATATGATAAGATACCTCAAAAGTACGCTGGCATGATTCTTGCCATCGGTGAGCTCAATCACTTTTTCATCGGAACAAGCGTACGACTTTCCAACCGGCGTAGGGAATAGCATGACGCTATGTTTCTGCCCGGTACTCACTCGAATAGTCTTGTCTGAGATATTAATAAAACAATTTATTAATAATGTAGCGTCAAAGTTTTCTTAAAAAATGTCAAATATATTTGATAATTTATAATAATTTAATTAACAGTTTAACATTCTCTATATATTTATATATTTTTATTTTTTATTAAAAAAACATGTAATGTATCATCGAATTTCAATAAAATATTTTGAGGCAAAAAATCAATATATTGAATCAGTAAAATTGATACTAATTGCACTTACTTGGTTGATCAACATGCTCAAAGTGTTTATCGCTAGAGTTATAGGTTAATTCAATTTTCTCGACGTACCAACGCTCGCCACCAGGAGTCTGGAAAATAAAAATCATGCATCTCGTGAAATTATTATAGGGTTGATCACATTTCTATTTTATGCAAAAATTAGATTATTAAAGAAAATTAAAGAAAAAGAAATAAAAATATATTTCCAAGTGTATTTTTGTTGTTGCAAGTATAAATAATATCATATAATTTATCATGTATGATTCTTTCTTTGTTAAGAAATCGTTGAATTACATCCGATAAAGAGAACTCTTCTACTATTGTCTCGCGAAATCTGTAACTCGTTCAAGATATAATTACGGAATATCGTGATAGCTTCTGGCACGCAATCAACGATATGAAGGTGAAAATCAAATAAACTACATCTCGGTAGAAAGGTCTCATATCGATTTTCGCAAAAAGCAACCCTGTGTCTGGCACAATTCAAATGGTTTATCCTTCATATATATTTGCATAATTTTCCATCGAACTTATCTCTGACGAAGTTCAAAATTGGAATAGCATTTGTATGCAAAATATTACCTTAGCAAAACTCCAAGATAATACAAATGCATTCCATTTCAAGGACATTGTCACCGTATTTTCATTGTCGCAATTTCCAGTCACGGTCGCATCGTCAGGTACATATATATCCACTTCCTGGAAATATAAAAATAAATCAATTATAATTAATATATGTCATTAACTACGTTAACAACATTTAAACATTTCTTTTTTTTCATTGAAATTTAATTTATACACTTCTTACTTGGTCGTCGCCATATTTTGTGCGATACTTGACGGCAATAATTGCATCCACTTGAAGAAGGATGCAAGCTTGTCCGTTGCTTCTGTCCAGCCGATATAAGGGTTTATCCGTTGAAACCGATCTGTGTGTGGTCATAGTGGTCGTTGAGGGCAGGATCGTGGTTGTTTTGACCTCGAAATTGGCTATCGTCTATGAAAAAGAGGAACAACGACATAATTAATAAAAGAACGAGATATCAACGATAATTATTTATAGATTAGAATCATAAAATAATATTGACTCGTGAAGAAAACAGAAATGTTTCAAATTACAATTATTCTTTCCAACAAAAATTTTTCGATAAAACGATGTAAGCAAATTGCTTAATAAAATTTTCACATCTAGTTTATTTTGCTACAAAAGTAACTTCCGTTTATAAGTAGATTCTATAGAAGGTCACCTATTGTTACAACGTAAACGTAACGAGCATTGTCGTAATACCTTTTTTTCTCGTGTGTATTGAGTCGTTAATATAAAGGCAGGTAAAATGTAAACATGTGTTACAAAACATAAACTCGCAATTACAAAATATAAGGAGAAACGTGGTCAAGTTAATATGGGTAATAATAATAAAAGTTTCCATAAGAAAGACGCAAAATCCTTGTACGATGATGTCACATAAATGTCCAATACCGAAATGTCAAGGAATAACAGTAAAATCAGATATTAGACTTATAAGAATTTAACACCAAAGTCTATAAATCCATTGTAAGTACATCGAGCTTAAGACTCGATAAAGCTAAAGCCGCAGCCTTAAAATCAAATTGAAAAAGCGTGAAAGTACAATAAAGTCATAAAATTTATAAAATTTGAGATCTTTAAGAATTAATATAATTTTAGTATGTATTAAGAAATTATAACAATTCTTTCTTTTTAGATTTAGATTTTGGTCATCATTTAATTCTAATTAAATGATGCGTTTTCCAAAATTTTCATAATTTAATCTTTAATCCGGATATTCACGATTCAATACTTGGATAATAATAAATTATAATTTTTATCATAATTGTGAGAAAAGTAATCTAAGAAAAATGTTTCATAATTTAATAGCTTAATGGCTGAAGTAATTCCGGTAATAACTTTATATAAGATATTAATGGTGCCTGAACAAGTGCTCGAGCAAACAAGTTGCTTAAAATTTTATCGGTCATTTAGCACCCAAGTGTATTTATGAGTATATCACATGTATGCCACATTTACGAGCTACTTTTTGCTTATACATTATCTGATCAATCTAAAATCGATCTTTTTCTTAGTAAAAATTTATCGCAAATTCTCTTTTAACTTTCGACAATAAATTTTTTTTAATTAATATGTTTCACACATATAATTTTTTATAGAGTCCTTAAAAAGGGTGTGTTTCACTTTTAATTTCATGTAAGTTATCTCGATGATCACATTGCAAACTCACGTCAATAAAATTTTTATGCGCTGGTCGTAACATTGCCTGTGACATTTAACAACCGGAAATCATATGATTGTCGACAGTAATGAAATGTAAATTAGCATGGCATAGCCAAATCATTTAGTAATATATTTTCGAGCAGCAACAGGCTACGAAACAATAAACGGGTTAATATGAGAAATCACGCTAAATCGAGCAATTGCGAGAAAATGTTATATTGATACTCGCGATTAAAAAAATATAATTTTAAACTTTTATTTAAAAAAGATTATATTACTGTAAGAGAATATAAATATTATTCATGAAATCATTTATGATATTTCGTTAAGGATATGACGTTACATTATACATGTAAAAATTAACCTCTATTATACATTATACATGTAAAAATTAACTTCTCCCCAGAATTACATTTTCGCCATTATTAGCGCTTTCCATATGTATAAATTTAAACGATAAATAATATTTTGCATATAAGTGTTCTTATTTTCTCAAATGTATGCACTTTTTGTGTTACATAAAGTTATAAATATAAATGGAATTTCATCCCGAATTATAAACTAAAGAGAAACTTAACTTTACAGATTATAATATAAGACAAGATATATAAAGTAGAGCAAATTAGAGCAAGGTTCCGAGAGCTGAAAGTTTCGATAAGAAACATATATATAGCTATATGTAGCTATACGTTTACATATATATACACGCAACACAATGATTCTTTTAAAATTTCACGCATTATCATACATTATAATGTTAATGTAAAACCATTGTTGTTGCGCTTAATGTAAGCTCAACCTTGAGAAAATGGTGAACCTTGCTATGATGGATAGATCTTTAAAGTTTCCTGAAAATGCATATACATAACGCGCTAAATCATGTAATCATATAATGATACCTTCTTTCGTCAGAACATTAATTATCGGATTTAAATCTCGGAATTAAATAAGCGCTCATAATAGCGATAATACGATTATGTACGGATTTAGAGTAAAATGCAGCTCACGTTTGTAGAATCGGTTGCCGCCCGCTATTGTAAGAGCATGTAACATGTAAAAGTGTATACACAGAAAGATATACTATACACGATACAACTTCTTCCTTCTATATATATATTAGCACGTTCCACGAATCCATTTAAATAATTACTCATGTGTATAAAAATGTAAATCGTTGTATTTCTAAAAAGGTGCTTATTGATCTCCATTACATATATTCGCTTGAGCGGTATTGTAGATACAAGAGAAAAAGTATATGAAACAACTTTCAACTCTTTTGTGTATAATAAGTTTTTATTTAAGTTTAATTGCAAAAAACAATTAAATAATGGAAGCAAAAAGATATAATTGCAAAAAGAATTTATGAAATATAAAAAATAGAAAGCTAGTTAGCAAAGAGGTTCAAGTGTCATTGAATTAAATGTGCTTACCAAGGGCAATTTTGTTCTCTGGGTAGGCAGCATAAAGACGACTTTTGGCATTCTACGTGTGGTGTAATGTTGCTCATCGTCCACTTGTCGCGGTATCGGCGAAGAGACAGGGATACTGAACGCAATGCCCGAGACACACCCTGTCAAAAATTAATGCAGGAAAATGCGTCAATGTTCTACAGAAATGTATGTATTACGCTATATATTTTTCGTAAATTAATAACGATAAGAGATACAAGCATCAGCTTCTAACTCGACAAAATAAAATGTAAAAAGAATTTTTTAACAGAAAAATGTTTTTTAAATTGCGTTTAAAATAAATCATAAGATTAAAAAATGCGCAATTAAAAGTCTATTGACTAATTTTCAATTCCTATTATATATTCAATTTAATTTCCGCCTACTTGTTTAAACAAGATGACGTCGTTCTCTCGACAAATTAAATATAAAAATTAATGAAAAACTAGAGAATGCGCGTGAAATACTGTGGAAAATACTTATATCGTATTAACAGGAAGTAGTTCTCAATTTAAATTTCCGACTATAGAAAGCTTCGCGATTATGTAGTCTATCTAAAGACTTGGCGGAATTTTTTTTCACTATAAATAACATTTCTCGGTTAAAGCAATCATGTATCTTTTTTCTTGCAATGTTTTAATATATAGTGCTGTTGCTTCGTAATAGAACTGTAATCTCATAATTATAGCTACTAGAATATATTATAGTTTGCCAAAAATGTCAAATAAAAGAAAGATCCCAAGAACATTATATATAATTACCTACTGTCACACGAATATTTTATTAATATCAATATATACATATTAAAAAATATGCTATAAATAATATATGCTACAAATTTTTATTAAATACTGTAAAATACAGCTTTGACGAAATGTTTTTGAAATCTATCAAAGTTATCGACATTCGTTTTAACCCTTCGATGCACTATGCGTGTCAAAATAATTCCTCGTAAATTTCATATCGTATTTAACACGCATTTTTATTCTACTATATATTTTTTTTATTTATAGGAATACTCTTGAGAGATCGCGAAACAATTTGCTCATGTTTCTTACGTAAAACTTGTCGTTCAAACGATAACTCTCCAACGCATTTGTGGATTAAATGGCGCAACCTGGCAATCGACGCAATTTTTTATGATCACGAATAGATTACATCTCGCTCTTCGTGAAAATATCGGAAACACGCAATGACGCACTCCGTTTAGAAACGAGGAATCGCACGAAACTGTCTCGGAAAACTTACACAGTAGAAAAATCGCTCTGCAGTGTTCGCCTTGACGTGCCATAACGTTACCGTTGCTTGCTTGTCTCCTGGTACGTTATATCCTGACCGTATGACAAAACGCGATACAAGTGAAATGAGAGACAGGACACGGATACTGTTATTACACGGAGTAAAATCGCCGAGTTATACAATTTTGCCGGGACGGTTGCTCGGTAGCGACGTTCACGAGACTTGTGAGGAGAAGCGAGAAAAAGCTCGGGGGCGCGGATGGATCGATAGCGGGGCGGCTATCAGCATGCGCTACTACGCGTTGCCGTTCTGTACAACGTGGTGGAAGAGACGCGATTCTCTCCGCCGATGACGTCGTCGTCGTCATTGCCGTCGTTCTCGATGTTGTTGCCACGTTGACATCAAGTGCCCCGCCGTCAAAGCTGTTCATTCACACATTACGCGCGCAGCCAAATATATACAACTTCGCCCCGCGTAGATTCCACGTGGGTGTCTACAATTAGCACTGACAACTTGACATTTTTTTCTCTTGCTGATGAATTTTGAAAATTATTTAACACTTTTTCGATTATTTTCAAGAATTGTTCGTGTTCGTTAATACATTTCTAACTTAACGTTATCTTTTTTAACTTTCGAAAATTTTGCTTAGAAAAAAATATCTTGTTTGTAGATTTAATAACTTTCATGTCTATATATATAAAAAAGTGGATTAAAATGGATACATCAGGAAATGTTTCAGAAAAAGCTTGACAAAATTTGACAAAAAAAAAAGAATACCGGGCCTGTTTTTACTTTATTTCGTTATCTATTTCTGTAAGAAAATAAATAATTGAAAAAGATAAATATTGTGCACTTTCTGTAAGTTTTCACATTACATTTTACGATATACTTGAAAACTTTCCTAATCATGAACACCCGTGGCGTCGTATAATAATTTCGTGTACAAGCTCCGACAGCAACTTCCGCTGCTTTTTCATTCCGGCTGCAAACGTGGACGTGAACTCAGCGGGTAGTGCAAAGTAGTGATGCAACTACATCTCGGAGCACACGATACACATACGGGATCATGGAGATCGTATTTCGGTGACCTGACCGTGGGCGACTCGTTACCTGAAAGTTCATCGTCAAAATCATGAAAATGTTCCTTTCGACTCAATAGGTCTGAAGTTAAAAAAAAAAAAAGAAAAAGATGAAACAAAAATATCTTGAAACTCTTTCGCGATTGAGAAAAACTTTTATAAGTATTGCACGCGATAATATAAATCTAGCAAATTATGTTTATGCAATTTACTAACGTTAAATGTCAGATCAGCCTCGAGACATTAAAAAGGCAAACTTTCTTCCTTTGTGACATCGCACAGTACGTTATATAACTCTACAATACATGGAAGTATAGAAACTCTACAATACGTTGAAGTAAAGAAACTGAAAGCAAAATTGGAATGTATAACATAATTTATCGGTAATATTTATTTAACAAAAATTGTAATTTATAAAATAAATTAATTAATTATAATTATATATATTATATATATTATTATAATTTTCCAATAAAAAATTGTTTTTGAATAAAACATATTAGACTATTAAATATATTTTCAATAATATTTTTATTCCAAGTTGAAGAATACATAACTAGCAACACATTTTTGAATGCAACCCCTACTGTCAACAAATGTAAATTCAATTTCACGTAAAATGAAATTCCCAAAGAAGAGATTCTTTTTATTTTGCCTTCTTGCGAAATATTTATCATGAAATTTTGTCGAGAGTAGTTGGATCAGTAGTTTGACACAAGACAAAGCGGAAAATCGTGGCATTTACGTGACTACCAGGAGCACTTTGATAAGCACTTTATAGCAGGTTAACGTCTCGCTGAAGGCACATTTTCGCATGAACGCCCACGGATTAGTACGCCTACGCACCGCTCGTTTCACTCAAATCTTACTCATAATATACGATAAAATCGTCTGTATTGTTTGCTCGCCTCCGGCATGATATTGATATAATTAGATATCGCGTAATTTTCCACGTCATATGTAATACGCTGCTTTTATATGGAAATTTATATGTATATATTAATAAATTATTAATAAATTGAGACATTTCGTTCATTACAACTGATATTGATCTATTATTGTGAATAGATTAATTATCTTTTTATATCTTGTATGACAAGTGTTTTACTTTTAATGTCTTTTTTTACTTTTCTTTCAATGATATCTATTAAAATAATATAGATATTTTGCGGAAAAAGAAAATAAATTTTTTAAATATAACTGACTAATAAAATCAATTACATGTAATTTATTATTCATCACTTTTTAATTATTATTATTCTTTTTTTTATTTATTACATACACATACTCTTCTCTTTCGCTTTCTCTCGTGATTTTTTTCATGTATTATTTACTAATAATTCATTCCATATTTCTAATATATTTATATATTACTCACCAAAAAAGGTCTGAAGAGAATTTCGTATCATTGATATCTTTCTCGCAGAAATTATGAAATCTTAATTATGAAAAATATATTGCCGTCACATGTGTAAAACCACTTTTTCAAAAGGAGAAAATACAACGGCTAGCGCCATCCAGCCAGAATTCAAATCTTATGGAAAAATTTTTTCAATGCTGCTGCCATCTTTCATGTAGAGAATGAATGTGCATTAAATTGAAGTGCATCAATACCGCGAGATGACGACAGTTGTCTTGGCATTGACGCTAAGATCGAAAGAGTTAAATAATATTCGCAGATTGCGAGTACAAAAGACGTAAACGAGACAACGGTGTTTTTGCAAGTCGCACGAGCTTATCAAAATTCGCGGTCACGTGGGGACAGCAAAATCCGCAACGACATATTGTATCAAGCCGCAAGAACGTAACGTCGTTAACTGACAGTTCTTCAGAGTAATTCAGAGTGATCTTCGACACCGGAATATGCTGGCTCTGAAAGTAAGGGACAAGAGCGTGCCTACTTTCGCGTGAGTTTTGCTGCGAAAATTGCTTTTGGTTTCTAGGCGACCGTTGTTACTTGCTCCTTTAGGCGAGTTGTTCTTCAGAATTTCTTATCGAGACGTAATTTAGCGGCTTCGATCAAACTTGAAGGAAAGATGTCGTTCGAAGATGAGAAACGTAAGAAATCTAATTGCAATCTAATGTCGTTAATTAGTACAATCAAATAGAGGTCAATAAATAGGCTATTTATTATGATAAATATTCTATAAATATGTACTTTTTTTTTCCTGTAACTAGAGAAATTCTTAAACATGCCTCTGGAAGAGAAGAGAAGTTACTATAAATCAGGAGTAACAACTGTGGATCAAATTCCTACATGGCCAGAATATTGGGAGAAGAACAAGTTCAACATCCCCAAGACTCTTGAGAATACTGAAAAAGTTGACAAAGTCATAGCTAAGAAAATATCGATATGGCAAGGAGACATAACATCGCTTGAAATAGATGCAATTGTCAATGCTGCAAATTCGAGTCTTTTGGGAGGTGGTGGAGGTATAAAAAAAATGTATTAAAAAACTTTTTTGACAAAATATATACATATATTTAAAAAAAATGTTTTTTAGTCGATGGAGCTATTCATAGAGCAGCAGGACCAAATTTAAAGAAAGAATGTGCAACATTAGGAGGATGTAGGGTTGGCGAAGCTAAAATTACAGGGGGTTACATGCTGCCGGCTAAATGTTAGTCATTTTTGCAAGAGCTTAACGTAAAGTATAATATTTTTTATTAACTAAAATCAACATTCAAATGATGATGTTGCAGATGTTATTCATACCGTTGGTCCCCAAGGTGAAAAGCCAGAGAAGTTACGAGAATGTTATGAAAATAGTCTGACTGTGGCGAAAGAGAATCATTTGCGTACTATTGCATTTCCATGCATATCAACCGGAATTTATGGATACCCGCAAAGACCAGCAGCCAAAGTAGCTTTATCGACAGTCAAGAAATTCCTGCTTGAAAATAAAGATGTAAGATTATATGTATATGTATATATACATACATATATACTTTGAAAACTACATTCTTTATAAATACTTTTGATCGTTATTATTCATAAAGTTTTTGTTATAATTTTGCAGATGGATAGAGTTATATTTTGCTTATTTTTGAAAACTGATAAGGATATATACGAGGAACTATTGCAAAAATACTTTACTCTCGACTGAATATCTATCGGTAGGTCTTTGCTTTTACACAAGGTGTTCTTCATATTATTTAATATATTTCATAAGTTGTGCTCAAAATATAAGTTAATATAGAATATTAATACAATTTTGAATATTTCATACTTATCCTACCTTAATTTAACTTTTAAAATCTAGTGAAAAAAATAAATAAACATAAAACTTGTAGAAAATTTCACAGGGAATAAATTTGTCGTTTTATTGCTTCAAATTTAGATGTACACTATACAACAGTCTCCATACCTTACTCGCTAATTAATTTTCAAAATAGATTATACAATGACTATATATTACGATAAGTTAGGGCTTTCGAATACTTAATAACTTTATAATTTACACGATTTCGAAATTATGCGATTTTTCGAATTTAACACATCAAAGTTAAAAAATGTCCAGGTGAATAGAAAACGCACCGACGCATATAATAGGTTATATTTCAATAACATTATAAACAGATAAACGATTAATTAACTTGGATACAAACGCAAACTTTGTAAATAACTTTGTATTTCAATTTTTAGACATGTTTTTACTCCACTGCGCGTGTGCATCTCTTAGGTTATGTTTCTAAAACATCGCTGAAATAAAATAACGCTTAATTCATCTATCGGGATAAGGATGTCCTTCTAGTTCGCATTCCTGTCGCTCTCTTATCGGTCGTAAACGAGCAAATAAATACATAACATCGACTATAAAGTCCATGTCGCATCACATCGTAACGACCACGAGAAACGTGCCAATCTGACTTACCTCGGATGCATTCCGTTTAACGCTACTTTCATTCGAATCGACGTCTAGAGAACCGATCGGGGCGCGGAGTCTCATCCCGAAGCGAAAATAACGTCGAGCGAAGCGCACCTTTTATTACACCTCGCGCTCTTCGCGCTCTATTTACACCTCCGGCCCGCGGCGCATGCGCGCCCCTGGCGGCGCTATGGCGGCGCGCCGCCATCTTGAAAAATCGAAGTGCCGTGATGTCTGTATGTGGCGACGGTAGGTGGGGGACGGTCGGTCGGTCGTTAACGCGGTGTATCTCGGACGGGAAATCTGTCACAAATGGGCGAATATCCCTGAGTGCGTGCTGAGGCCCGGCCCGAACGCGAGTATCTTCCGCGTCCGTGACACGATACGCGGTACGCAGTACGACGCACAGTCGTTGTCGTCGTCGCGGTCGTCGCTGCCGTCGCTGCCGTCGCCACAGCCGTCTCGTCGCCGCCTCGAGCACACCCAAGAGGGGCCCCGTACAGTCGCTCGCGCTTCTCGGCATCCGCCGTGGCGAGGGTGCGCGTTGTACTCGCCGAGAGAGTACGAGTGAAGTAAAGTGTGCGCGTCGTGAGGGAGAGAGAGAGATATATATATATATATATAGTGAGGGAAGAAGAGAGAGAGAGAGAGACAGGGAGAGGAGGAAGAGCACAGTGTCGATAATAGAGCCGTGCGCCGGTCGGTATCGTGCATAGCTCCGAAGCGAGCGGACGCGAGGCCGAGAGTGTCCGAGCGTCGTAAGCGTGCTCGTCGTCCCTGCCGGAGGGATCTCGTAATCCGCGCTCGCTTACGTCCGTCCTCGTCGTCGTGCCAAGAAAGTCGAAGCGAACGCGCCGTAATGGGCGAACGGAACGTGCGTGCGCTCGCCGCATGAGCCCAGCATCGTCTCCGCAGATCCGGAGATCCGGACGCGCGAAACGCGACAAGGACGTGGGAAAACGTGCGCGGGGCTCTCGTCGAGTGAACGCGAGTGAATAGGGACGGATAATTCGTCGGCCGATCTGGACGAGGTGGACGTACGGAGATCCCGTAATCCTGAATGGCCGCCACCGCTGCCGCTTTCTAGGTTACTGACGGACAGGAGAGCGTGAGAGAAAGAGAGAGAGAGAGACGGAGAGAGCACGACGCGAGCGAGAGAAGCGGACATCGAGGGACGTAAGACCGCGGACGGAATAAGAGGAGGAAATAGGAAACGAATTTGTGGTCGCGCGAGTGAGAGCTAAAAAGACAGCTCGGGCGAAAAAGGAGAAAAAAGAAAGAAAGAGCGAGAGAGAGAGAGAGAGAGAGAGAGAGCGAGAGAGAGAGAGAGAAAGAGAGACACCGAACGACCGTGAGCGCTCTCGCGCGGGCGCGCGCGCGCACCCGCGACTCCGACACGACTCCAAGACGACTGCATCGTCTCCGCCGCCGATGTGCGGCCCCCGAGGAAGCAGCACGCCGCGAACAACGTGTCCCGGACGTCTCTCTCGTGCTCGCCGGCGTGGCCTCGCCGTCGTCGCCCGCGACTCTTTGCACGCACCGACGAAAGTCTGAATCGTCGGCGCCGCGCTACCTCCTAGGGCTCCTGCCGTTTTCGCAAGAGTCCAAGTATTGTCCGCTGATATTGCCGCGCACCGTCTACCACCGTCGTCGCTGCTATTACCGATCCCAACGTCAGCATCGTCGTCGCCCCCGTTCTCCTACGTCCTCGTAGCCGCCGACGTCGTCGCCGAGGCTCAACTCGCATGTATGCATCTCGACGCGTAAGTATTTATTATAAGAATATAAAGAATTTTATATATATATGATATATATATATATATGTATGAGAGAGAGAGAGAGAAGGAGAGGAGAGGGGGAAGTGGTAGTTGCGTGCACATGTACTGACGTAGGTTGTACGGGTGCATACGACAGAGTTGCGTGTGCGTAGGTGAGTGCACGGTCCAAGTATCGAAAAAAATTGGGTGGGAGAGGGGAGCGGGAACGGTTAGCCAGGCGAGGAGAGTCACTCCGTTTTTCTCGTCGATCCCTTTCTCTCTCTCTCTCGTCGTCGTCTCTCCTTCTCCCTCGATTTGGCTCCGTAGAGAGTTAGTTGTTTCCTGCCCCCGCTCTCTATTTCTGTCCTCTTCTGTCTCTCGGATGCGCGTAAACTCGTCCCCGCGTATTTTAACCGGCACTCTTATACGGCTTTCTTAACAACCCCACATTTTCGTCTGTCACCAATTCTCGACGGGAAGAAGGAAGATCCTCCTCCGTCATTTCGGGAGTGGCGTATTCGAGTTCTTTGTGATACACCCTCGGCTCGTTAGTTTTTCCCCTTCTATTATGCAACAAACGATCGATTTTTGAACCGCAAATTCTCTTTCGCGTTGAGGTTAGATGCGCACGTGAGGATTTTATCGTTAGAAGCCACCGCCGCGGATAATGAAACGCTAAAATGGACGAGCTCGTCACATAATTATTTCTGTGATCGGATATATTCGTGCTATATTATTTTAGATTTAAAACATGGCTGCTTTATTATGAATGTTGACGTGAAATTTACGTGCACTTTTATCGCGTGGTGTATAAATCATACGTTGTATTTAATGCGAGAAATATAATAGTTACGAAGATTATTTATCAATATATTTAAAATCTTGATCTTCGAAAACGGTCTGTCACGGACTGTCACTGATGGAAAAATTCAATCTAGCGTTAATTTAGCCGTTAATAGTGTTCAATACTGATATTTCGAAAATTTATTAATTTAATTTTCAATAAAAAAACAAGACAAAAATCGTATAATCATAATTGATATAGTGAATATAATAAAGAGTTCTCAAAGTTTTGCTCGAAAAATAAACTGCCGTTTTTATCGTATAAATTCGTTCCTCTGGGTTTATATCAAACGTTTCATGTGTCTCTGATTATCGCAGCGACGTATTGCCATACCATTTCGGCATTTGCGTTAAAAATACTCGTCAAATGTTATCAAAAATTCAATACGTGACACTTGCTGCAAATAATGTAATTTAGAAAAGATAACAAATCAGATTGTATCTTATAATAGAGAGAGAGGACATTTGAATCACGATTGTATCGTTAATATGAACTACATATATTTTGTAATTTATATTAAATATATATTATCTTTAATAAGTACATTTTTTAAATCAGACGCTTCTTTGACACGTTCCATTTCGACACATTCATAATATTTTTCCAATAATTGAGATAACAAATCAAAAAAACTGCCATGAAAATTATTGAATATTTTGGAGCATTTTATATATACATATAGATACTTTAATAATTTTTGTGGCATTTTTATCTATCTGCCTATTTAACAGTAATATATTAATAATGTAGTTGCAATTAATATTAAAATATAATATTACAATTAAAATTTTATATAATTTTTTTGTCATTTTTTATGCGAAACTTAACTTATTAACTTATTAAGAATATAAAAATACTGGTTTATGAATTTAAAAATTATTATTGCTCTTTGTAAAAAGTGAAATTTTATTTCAATTTTCAATTCTTAAACTACGAGGGAAAGGTAACGATAGCAAAGAGCTCTTTATATTCTGCAATTTATGTGTGTAATTAATATTGTAACATTAAAATTAAAAATGAAATTAGAGCAAACTCTACGAGTGCGTTGAACGATCACGTTTCGAAACATTAATAATATGTTATAAAACAGATTTCTGCCACATAGCAGAGGTATCGAAGCGTCACGATGTGCATCGAAATGTGTCAACGATAAAGAATAAATTGCAGTCGCTTCTCTCTCTCTCTCTCATCATCCATAATTATCTAGAAAGTACTGGTTTAGACAGTTCACTCCTGTGCTATTGTTTACGCATTGACGCTCAACAATGATTATCGTATAATCGATGCATGGTGACGTAGTTTCGTAGAGTTGTGTAAAAAATAAAACACTTTGCACGCTTATAAAAATACTCTAAAGGTTTAATCAAATCTAGGAAATCGTAATTATGTGTTAGACAAAATTGTGTCTTTCAATACGAATTTTGTCCCTCGAAACATGCTAAATGAAAATCTATAATTTTAATTTTGAGAAAAGAGAAAGAACAAATTTTATAAAAATGTTTTCTCATTTTAAGATAACATTTTTATCTAAATTCGCTTTGCCAAATTTCACGCTCGTATTGTCATTCAGAATACGTGACTTTGCGGCACTTATTCTATCAGAAATTCGTTATTACAAAAAGTTTCTATTATGGCAACGGTGTTGTCGTCCCCTTGAATGACTCACGGAAACATTTTCATGACCGCCCATTTCCTCGTAGTCGACGTGTAACAACATCGGCCACTCTAGCCGATCAAAACAGTTTTTTTTTATCATTCGTTTCTCTCCGTCCATTTCTTTCTCTTCTCTCGAAAGGGTACTTACTGACTTCCTAGGTTGGTCGTGAAAAAATTTACCTCCTAGTAACAATGTCTTATTGGGTATCCGCCGATCATAAAAAAAATTCTACAACGATCTATATTTATTATCCAAGTATCGATACTTAATTTTATAGCATACTAAAGCATCGATATTATCTTCAATATCGCGTAGGCTCAGTGATGCGTGTCTTGATAAAAAAAAAACTTGTTTACACGCGGTTGTATTGTTGATACATCAATTAAGAATTTAATTCATATATAAATTGCAATTGAATATAGAATATCGTTGTTACTATTTTTGATCATAATTTTAGGAGAGGAAAAGAAGGAGGGAGCAATGATATAAAATAAAATTTCACTAAAGAGAAAGATAATAATTTTGAAATTGATAAATAATATGTATCTGACGTTGAAAATTTTATGCAAAACGACTGATAATTTTTTTACTGATAATTATACAAAAGATGAATTTTATTATTAGGAAATCCCTTGCTTCATACTCCTTACGTTCTACTTTAATTGCCTTTTATACTTTCACGAACATCGTGTGTGATACGCGACGCCGCTCGCGTTACATCGTCATTGTTCTTCTAATGATACAACCTAATGATACACACATACAAACCGCCGGAAGAACTCTTTAAAGCTGCGTCCCCTGCAGGTGTCGTACGGCAAAGCAATCGCGATAATTATATTGCTGCGATTGCTTCGTATCGACATAGGGAGTTTGTGACACAACTTAGGTCATCCAACTTCGATTAACAAAACCGTAACCTTGTTCCATTCATATTTGTATTTAATAAGGAAAATAAGAATTCGATCAATAAACAAATTCTTGGATATATTAAAGTATCAATCATATCATTCTTATCACGTGCAATCTTTTTTTTTCTTTTTTTAGATATTTTATTAAATAAAATAGTATATCCTTTTAAAAATTATTTATGTAATATTTAAAAAAATATGCATCAGATGTAAAATATAAATTTCGATATTAATTTTAATTCATTATATTATAATAAATTATTAATATACATATAATAATATCATCATGATATCAAGTGTTGAATTCAGCTATGAATAGAAAATATTTTTCACGCTTAAATTACATCTCGCGAAGTTCTGTTACAAATATAATATTATTAATTTTCTAATTATATTTGCAAAAATCTCATTTAAAATGAAAAATATAATACAATAAAAAAATATATATGACTTTCCAAACATCTCGTAAAATATCGAAATGACTCTTCTCGACATTTGAACATTTGCTG